TCAACTCCCATTTACAAATCACCACCACCAGTGAAGCCATACCATCCTGCACCAGTATACAAGTCTCCACCACCCTCAACTCCCATTTACAAATCACCACCACCAGTGAAGCCATACCATCCTGCACCAGTATACAAGTCTCCACCACCCCCAACTCCCGTTTACAATTCCCCACCACCACCAGTGAAGCCATATCATCCTTCACCAACACCACACCATCCTACACCAGTATACAAATCTCCACCACCCCACTATATTTACTCCTCTCCCCCTCCTCCCCACCATTACTAGAAGTGACTTCATTATCTATGAGGTAATTAATATAAACTTAAACTTTCAAAATCATATGACTAAAATGCAATGCAATAATAAGCTGCACAATTTCTTCATGCAAAACATCAATATAAAAACTTATGTTGTCTACTTCTTATTTGGTTATCTTCTACTATATATGTTCTCATTCACAATACTATATTCTTATGCAGGAAAAGCAAATGTTGAGCTGAAAGGAAGGCATTTTCTATTTTCTATAGGCAATGATAAAAGAAGAAAATTAAATTATAGTAAACAATAAGCCCCACAGAAGGCGAAGTTCTTTTGTAGCTTCATGTTATCTAAGTTAGTGATATTGTTTTTGTACTCTATTTTTATATTTTACTAATTTTATGTATTTCTGTATGTTTGTTCGATCTTCTTGCTAAATGCGGAGATTATGAGATGAATAAAATAAGTTATTACTATATGTTTTACCCTTCTCCGTTGCATTTAAACACTATATGTCGCAATAATTAATTTATTGAGATATATAAAATATCTGAAGATTTGTGATTTAAAAGAATAATTTTGAATCATTGAAATAGTAATAGGCCCATATAAAGTGGAGCTTATAATTTAGAATATAAGTTTAAGGTGATGCCAATCTGATCTAATCAATTAAAAGCCCAATTTTAGCATGGGAAGGGTAGTAACATGTGATTCTATTACTTATGTTTTATATTGTATTGGATTATATTATTTTGATTTTGGATTTTTATTTTTTTGTCATTTCATAATATTATATCAATATTTTTTTCTTAAAAATTTATATAATATTAAAAAAGAAATAGAATACAGAGTACAATTATTATAAAAACAAAAAATTAGAATAAAAGATATAAAATATAATTATTGAATAACAAATAAAGATAAATAAGAAAAAAAAATAACAACGAAATTAGACCACATTGAAACATTTCATCGTCAAATATTATTTTAACAATACAATAAAATTTAAATGCTAATTAAAATAAACACTTATATTTAAGTAAGAATACGATATAATAAAATATAGCATGAAACAACTTTCCAAACATCCATTCATATTAATGATTCCCTCTGTCCAATTTTACTTGCTTACTAATTAAAAATGAATGTTTAGCTTTACTTATTTAGTTTAGAAAATCAAGAAATAATCTATACTTAATTTCTACTTTCACTTAAATAATAATATAATAAAGTTGATACTTTATTTATTGTTTTTAAGGAATATGTGTCACGACCCAAAGCGTCGTAATTGGCACCCACACTAACTCTCTGGTGGGAGAACCACTATTATAACCCAAACCAAACAACTAACCAAAAACTAAGGCATTTAAATCAAACACTAAGGAAATAAAAATAGAGTTCCCATAAACTCTAACAAAAGTCTAACAATGCGGAAGAATAACCTAAAACTTGAAAGTCAATGTACCAAAACATTCTAACAATCAATCAAGTCTAAACAAGAAAGGGATAGAACCCCCAACTAATTAACTAACCAACTAGCTAAAACAAAGGTCTAAGTCCGGAAATAGTGGACATAGACGAAAGAGAATTTCATGGCAGGCCGAAAGAATTGGCTCACCCTTGAATTTGAACGACGACTTTTGATCTTCTAAGCGAGGTCTGTCAATAGCCGCTTAAAGATGCCCTGTACTCAACAAAAATAAGAGCAAGTGCAGAATCAGTACACAACCACAGTGTACTGGTAGGATCACACGGCTATCCCACTAGTGCAACATAAACAAGTCAAGACAATATTATAATCACATGCATACATATCAACATATACAATATCATCAACATTTACGAATAATGAACAACTTCACATTTTATGTCAAACAGTTAGCATGCCGTAACGTGGCAACTGATCCCATATTTATGCCGGAACGTGGCAACCGATCCCATATTTATGTTGGAATGTGGCAACCGATCCAAGTTAGTTATGTCGGAACGTGGCAACCGATCCATGCACAACCACAATCACAATCACAAGTATATCATCAAGATCATACATTTAAGTCATGATTTCATGGCATACATCAATTATCTATCTCTTTTACAACAAGTGTGATCAATATTGCAACATTCATATATATACAAGTATCATAATGAAGCAAGAACAAGCATACATCACACAATCATAGAATCGCAACCATCACCTACCTTGAAATAAGCTTGAAACCTTAAGAAACTTGATCCTTCCCTTTTCGGATTCGTTCCGCTTGTTCTTGGTCAACAAACAATCAATATAATACATGAATCAATAAACAATCATTAATTACCTCGATTACTAACAATTCTATGAACCCTAGATCAGACACATGATCCCAATTAACCAATTTAGGGTTGTTTCCAGCATAGAATCTAAAACAAAACCCTCCCCCATCAATATTCACCCATTGTATTATGTTCTACGGATCGAAAAACGGATTTGGAGAGTGAAAAGCTTATCTTTAGCCTTAAGAATGGTGAAAAATGAGTATGAGTCGCCTGGGGGGTCGTTCCTTAGCTCTAAAAGTCAAAAAGTGCATAATGAGGTCGTTTAGGGATTTATTAACGACTTTAATTTGTGTCGGGCCCGCCACAATGGCCACCACCCCGCTACAGCGGGCGCCAGAGCGGTAAAACCCAGCGCCAAAGTGGCATTCTCAAACCAGTGAGCTATTTAAAGAATTCCAAAATTCTCATTTCACAACACACCTCTAACCCACGACGCTCAGTAAATACCCTTTACACTAAGATCGATTCTGGGAGTTCTACTCTCCCGAATTCAATTTCGTAAAGTCGTACGAATTTCTTAACGAGTTATCTAACTACTCATGTAATCAAAATCATAAATGATTCACACGATTGTTACCAGATTTCCCTACACCTCAATGACTCCGATTTCGTCCAAATCTGGACAAGGTTGGGAAAATCTAAATACTACGAAAAAGTTTTCCGGCCCCAAATTTTCCCCCGTTGACTTTTCTATAACGACGAAATAGATCGTTACAATATGTTAAATAAACAGGACAAGTAAAATATACGGATGGATCCTTGGGTGTAGGAAGCGTTTCTTCCGAATAAGGTCCTGTGCGGCACAAATTCGAAATAATCGAACTACAAAATAGATACAGAGCACTAGGTGTGAAACAAAAAAAAACGGAGGGAGTATTATTTATATTATATTTATATTAATAAATAAAAAAGTTACTCCCTAGACGTCAACGTATGCTAGATTGGCCAATAGATTAAGAAAATAATATTATCAAAAATGTCAATAGTAATGTGGCAAAAAATTAATGGTGAAAAGGAGAGGGTAACTGCATGCTGTCATATATATCTTTTAATTTATTTATTTTTTAAAAATAAAACAACTGCTTGCTGTCATACAACTTTGCAAAAATGATTGCTAAAATTAAATATGATTAGTATTTATATATAGTCAAATTGGTACTTCTTTGTTCAATTTAGATAGCACGTTGAAAATTTAAGATTTATATTTTTAATTTTTAATAGTAAATTCAGACATAAAAATCTTAAATTTAAAAATATATATTAAATATTTAATAAATATTTTTCAAATGACTCTCAAAATTTCGATTGTGTTACATTATTAATTGAAACATATACGGATTAGGGAGTAAGTAACTAGAGTCCAGAATGTTACTTTTTTTCTTACAATGTTAGCTTTAATTCTAACTTTTCATTTAAAATTGTAAAATTTAAAATATTTTAATTTATATTTTACCTACTCTTATTTTTATTTAACACTATAAAATTTAAAATTCATCTTTACTATCTAAAATCAAAATCGAACAAATTGTAATTGAGTGGATTAACAAATACTAGTTTAGAGAACGCCCACGATATTAATAAAGTTGGTCCTCTTTGGCACCCCAAAAAGATAACAACACTATGATGGAATTTGGAGTAGAATTGTCAATGCATTAATTTTATGTGAATTTAGTAATTAATTTTAATATCTTCGAAATAATTTTAAATATCTAAAAACTAGAAACAAAAATTTACTACAAATTACTATTTTATAGTATGACTAATAATGCAAGTCTTTGAAATAATAGACTTAAAGTCTTTTGATGAAATTTTTATTTGTCAAAAGAAATATTCAATTAAGATACTTGTGAATTTCCATATGGAAAATCAAAATGCTACAAGCACATCAATGAATATAAAGGAGAAATTAGTAAGGAGGATGAAGTTGATAAAATTGAAATTTCCTCCCTATCTTACCCCTAATATATATATATATATATATATATATATTATTATATATATATATATATATATATATATATATATATATATATATATATATATATATATATATATATATATATATATATATATATATATATATATATATATATATATATATATATATATATATATATATATATATATATATATATATATATATATATATATATATATATATATATATATATATATATATATATATATATATATATATATATATATATATATATATATATATATATATATATATATATATATATATATATATATATATATATATATATATATATATATATATATATATATATATATATATATATATATATATATATATATATATATATATATATATATATATATATATATATATATATATATATATATATATATATATATATATATATATATATATATATATATATATATATATATATATATATATATATATATATATATATATATATATATATATATATATATATATATATATATATATATATATATATATATATATATATATATATATATATATATATATATATATATATATATATATATATATATATTATTATTTTTGAAAAAGTGGTTAAGTTTTAAGAAAATTTCAAAAGTTTAATTGGATACTTGATAATGTATCTCACTCTACCAGACTGGATATCCTATTTGTTGTAAATCTTTGTCTAAATTTATGCATTAGGCTACTGAAATATATTTGAAAGGAGCAAAAAAGTTATAACTTTAATTATGTTATTAATTATTGACACAACTGAAAAGAGTCAAATCAGAAAGAGGAAAATTAAATCAGATCAAATTTATTTTGATTTGAATTGGGTTACAACACTTTTTCAATATCAATAATCGAAAAATTCAAATTGAATAGTACTTTAAAAATCAAATGCACACCCTAGACCTTAACTGCAGTCACTCTCTTTCCCTCTCCTTCTCTCTATTCTACCAAACCACATTTTATCTAAAATTAAAATTAACAATTTTTTTCAATATTTAAAATATAATCTTGAAATTATTCTATTTCTAAATTTCTAAAACGTTTTTTTTTTTTTATCGTTTTTTATCATTTTGTTGTAACAACCTTCATTCATCATGGATGGAGTTGAAGGAAATAGTGGCTAAAAATGGAAACGAAGAAGAAGAAATAAATAAAAATTAGCTAAATCAG